TAAATCAAAAGAGTAGAAACCGAATCGTGGAGGGGGAAAACCAAAAACCCAAATTACCTCTCATCTTTCACGGCGAGATTGAGAAGAGCCAAGATGGCGACCTCCACACAGTCTAAATTCTCATCCCGCAGCATCGCAACCAAGGGTTCGATCGCGCCGGCGAGGTGGCGGCGGTGCCTCGCCGACGTCTTCGTCAGCTGGCGAATCTCCCTCGCCGCATCCATCCTCGTTTCTCGATCCTCCCCCCTCACCCTGCTCACAATGGCCTGCAGGGCCTCCCCCGACGCCGCCCTCATGCCGGAAACCTCGCCGGCGGCGAGCCTCCCGGAATCCATTACCTTCTTCGGCTTCAGCCGACTTCGATCAACATTGGAAACCTCGCCGACGGCGAGCCTCCCGGAATCCATTGCCTTCTTCGGCTTCAGCCGATTTCGATCAACATCCTTCGATCAACATTGAACTCCAAGGGGCTCTTATATGACCCCTGCCGTCAGACTTAACAGCGCTTGTAACTGTTAGTTGGCGCTATGTATTGGTTAGCTTGAATTTGAAATTATTTTTTTCCTCTTTGTGGGGGTCCACAACTCCTTGCACTGAAATATACGCAGGGCAGTTAAAAATTCTTTTTTGTTGGAGTATATAAAAATGTACCTGTGATCTTGGTGCGATCTAACGGTTAAGATCGTAGAAAATATGATAAAGAATAATACGTTTGTTTGAGCCATCTGCAGTAATCTGTTGATAATCTAAGTGTGATGGTTATTATAAATTTTTATTTTTTTGAAAAAATAAAATCACTGTCAAAAAGCTTCCACCGCATCTAGATATGTGCGGTGTGAAAACGCGTTTTCAAAACGCATAAGTTGTCAAAACACAATTTACTCAAACAGATCATGTGTCTTTTTAAAACGCCACTGCACCAAATAAGCTGTCATAAAATGGCTCTAAGCGACTCACTTATTCGATAGGATGCAGCTGTTCGAGCTAAAGCCAAAGGCCAATCGAACCAGAGAGATTAGAAGACCTACTGATGACAGCAATTAATATTTTCTCTATAATAAAGATTAAGTGCTAATACTAAATTAACAAACATAATTATATCCAAAAATAAAAAATAAAAAAAAAACATAAAAAAATTCAAACGATCAATTGACGGCGAGAAGCGCCGACCAACGGAGGAAAATAAGGTTCGCGTGCTGATGCGTCCTTAGGATTCCACGTGTCTCATGAAATTTTTATTAAACGAAAACTATTTTTAAAAAACATTATAGAAATTATTTTTCCCAAATCCAATATTTTAGAAGGCTTTATAAATAATTTTAATAAGACTGCGTGACATGAAAGGAAATAAATAATTATAAGATTTTCTAAATATTTTTTTTTCCTTCCGCATTAATTAAATCTTGCTAAAGTCTTCTGCTTTTGGCAAACCGCACGATTAAGGAAGAATTGTACGATTTTAATTATTAAAAAAATAATTTGGGCATTTACATGTATACCACCAAAATTTCTATGTATTAAGTGGTAAGAGAATGCATTATTTTTAGTATTTTTGTTTAATTATTCTATAATATTTACAAAAGGAGGATAGAAATAAGGTTAATTAGAAAGAAATATTAATAGAATGGCATATATTTTGAGGAAATCTAATGAGCAAAAAATTACAAAGGAGTGAGGCTAAGGAGGGCCTACATACAGAAGACCAAGAGGCAAGGGCCCATAAATAGAAAACCAAAGGTTCATCAATAGAAGATTAAGGCCCCGTGTGGGATCACTTTTAGTTTTATATTTTTCCTCGCTCGCCGCTAGCTGGCACAGTCTGTCGGCAATCGCCAACCCGCAGCCGACCCCCTGTCCCTAGGTGCCCGCCACAGTTGGTCTTATGTTGCCCCCCTGACCACAAATAATGCTTCATACTGTGTGGAGCACGTAATGGGCGACAAAGCTTAATACTTTAACACATGTGAACCCAACTATTTTATAAAAATGTATAATTTTTATAAATTAAAAAAATAAAAATACCTAATCAAACATGTTTTTTACATATATACATTTTTTAAAATAAATAAATCATCACAGTATCAAATACATTTTATAAAAACAGAAAAAATAGACTGAAAACAAAAGACAAAAAAAAAAAGAAAGTTATCTCGAACAGAGCCTAAGTGTCTATTAGTAAAAGACTAAGAGTTCACGAGTGGAATACCAAAGACTTATCAAATCAGGTGCAACCTCCCTAAATCGGGGTTAGAGGCCGAACAAGCCAAATTCGTAGGAACTAAAGTCTAAAAGCCTATCCAGCCAAATATAGCCATTGACCAATCTCTCGTCATTACCCGATTCAATGGAAGAATGAAGCATCGTTTTCATTATCCTATAAACAATAACCAACAACAAGGCTAGCATAGTCGACCGACAAATCTAAGTCGATTGAGTCAAGTTTCATTGACCTAAAAACCTTTAAAACTTGTCTTATAAGTAAAGGAGAACTAACATATCTTGTTGAAATAAGACCATCTAAATTTAACTGGCCGAGTCAATGCTCTCTTTAAAACTTGGTTAAATATGTAATTTCTTGTATTGTACATTCTTTTCTATAAATAGAGGATTATTTTCTAAGAAAAAAACTAAACAATAATTCAAATTATTATTCATTACAATGCTCTTAACTCTTTGTTTCTCTCTCTCTTTCTCTCTCTCTCCATTCCTTATAAATTCCTTATAATTTGAGATTTAGCAGTAATAAGATTTTTCGGGTTTGATATATGTTTTAGCTTTGCCGTCAAGTAACGGCCGTTAAGGGCATCGGATGCTTATCTTTCCTTTACGGTTTTCCCATCACATGCAAAAATAAATAATTAAAAAAAAATATAAAAAAAAGGAAATAAGCAAAAGACGTGCACTTCACCGCAGAGGAAGTATTATGCGGAAATTCATCAACCATCCGTGTTTGGGTAGTTTTGTACGGATGGGATTGAAGAAGATCTTATTTCCGCATAGAACCTATATGCAGAATTCGGCATAGAGAGTTTAGTAGTCTTAAAAAGAGCGGGAAAAGAGATTACGTCTCCGGGCCGTAACATCATAGCATCTTTACGTGCACGCTTTGTGAAACGTGGCCGCTTTTTTAACGTGACACGTGGATTAATTGTGTTTGATATTTTTGACGACATGGCAGACTTTCATTGGATAAATATTTCAGAATTATTTGATGTAGTGGAAATTAAAGAGTGGAGGAGATCAAAAGAAAATAAAAATTGGACCACAAATTTGTTACAAATATATCACGCAATTAGTACGTATTTGCATATCTAACCCCTAAAGTTTGTTTTTTACATATATATATCATTTTACATAGGGCTGTCAATATGGCTCGACAACTCGTGTTTAGCTCGTTAAGAAACTCATGTTCGGCTCATTCGCTAAGTTAACGAGTCGAACACGAACAAAGATTTGTTCGTTCGTGCTCGGCTCGTTTTGGCTCGAAATTATATCTTTGATGAGTAGTATTTTTAAAAAGAATTAATTAACTGCAAGGCTACAAAGATTTATAATCAATTAAAAGTATTAATTAAGAAAATAGAATAAAAATTATTAAATTAGATTCAAATAATATTTCAATATAAACAATAATTTTTAAATCTTGTCAGAATCTTTAACATCTTATGACTATATGATTAGAGTTGTCAAAAACACTCTTTGTTCGTGAACGACTCTTGTTCAGCTCGTTAAGCAAGCGAGTCGAACACGAACACACTTTTTGAGCTCCAAATATAAACAAGCCTAACACGAGCTGAGCCTAGGCTCATGTTCGGCTCGTTTACACCCCTAATTTTACATATGATTGAGAAAACATATTTCAATATTTAAAAGTAAATAATATCAATATTTTTATGAGATAAAAATATTTGTGTGTTATAAATGTAAAAAATTAAAATTTAGATGTTAGATATATAAATACATAAATATCTTGTGGTGCACATGCAAAGGCAAGCCGCTTACATTTTTATAATGTAATTAAAGAGTTTATACATTCAAACAAAGTTCTAATATATATGTTGAATATAAAAACTTCTCCTATCACTTTAAAAGTTTTAAATGCTGACCACCCAAAACTTATTATTTACAAAATAAATCGCCATCTTTCATCTATTTTTCAAATTATCACACAAATATCAAAATTCGTCATAAGATTCCAACTCATATTTTTCATTTTTATGAAGTTCTCAATAGTTTAATCATGACACACGTAAATACATCAGTTGCGTGGTGCAAAAAATCACCATTGGATTAGTTTGCAAATATCAAAGTTTCAAGTGATCTATATGTAATTTTCTCTTAAAAATATCATGATATTGTAATAAGTCATTAAAAAATGTTTCATTGGCTTGATATTTTTTTTTTCACGACAATAAAAATTAGCATGACAAAGTATTGCTCTTTTTTTATTGACATATTATTAAATTAGCTAATTGTTGTATTATATGTCAAATAATATGTACAAGGAGATGATGGCTACACCATCATTTCTTAATATTTGAATTAGAGATAATATTACTAATTTTACATATGATTGAGAAAACATATTTCAATTTTTAACAGTTAATAATATTAATATTTTTATGAGATAAAAAATATTTGTGTGTTATAAATGTAAAAAACCAAAATTTAGATGCTAGATATATAAATACATAAATGATACATAAATATCTTGTGGTGCACATGCAAAGGCAAGCCGCTTACATTTTTATAATGTAATTAAAGAGTTCATACATTGAAACAAAGTTCTAATATATATGTTTGTTATGGTATGGCTCTTTTTTTAAAAAAAAAACCCGCCATCTTTAATTTATTTTTCAAATTATCACACAAATATCAAAATTCGTCATAAGATTCCAACTCATATTTTTCATTTTTATGAAGTTCTCAATAGTTTAATCATGACACACGTAAATACATCAGTTGCGTGGTGCAAAAAATCACCATTGGATTAGTTTGCAAATATCAAAGTTTCAAGTGATCTATATGAAATTTTCTCTTAAAAATATCATGATATTGTAATAAGTCATTAAAAAATGTTTCATTGGCTTGATATTTTTTTTTTCACGACAATAAAAATTAGCATGACAAAGTATTGCTCTTTTTTTATTGACATATTATTAAATTAGCTAATTGTTGTATTATATGTCAAATAATATGTACAAGGAGATGATGGCTACACCATCATTTCTTAATATTTGAATTAGAGATAATATTAAAAATGTTTTAATTTAGATGAATGCACAAACAATTTCTTTAATAGTATTGTAGATTAGAGATATAATGACCTTTTGGGGCAGCAGTG